ATTATATTGAATCTATAGATGGCTTTGGGCAGTATGGACACTTTAACAGTATCAATTGTTCTGGTCCATGAACATAGGATATCTTTCCATTTATTTTTATCTTCTTTAATTCTTTTCATCCATGCCTTATAGCTTTCAGTGTACAGATCTTTCACCTAGGTTTAAATTTATTAAGTATTTTATTATTTTTGATGCTATTGTAAATGGGATTGTTTTCTTTATTTGTTTTTCAGGTAGTTCATTGTTAGTGTATAGTCTAGCTAAAGACTTGTCAATTTTGTTTATCTTTTCAAAGAACCAACTCTTAGTTTTGTTAATCTTTTCTATTGTTTTCCTATTCTCTATTTCATTTATTTCTGCTCTGATTTTTGTCATCTCCTTCCTTTTGCTGATTTTGGGCTTAGTTTGTTCTTCTTTTTCTAGTTCCTTGAGGTTTAATGTTAGGTTGTTTATTTGAGATCTTTCTTTTTCTTTCTTTGAGGAAGATTAGCCCTGAGCTAACTACTGCCAATCCTCCTCTTTTTGCTGAGGAAGACTAGCCCTGAGCTAACATCCATGCCCATCTTCCTCTACTTTATATGTGGGACGCCTACCACAACATGGCTTTTGCCAAGTGGTGCCATGTCCGCACCCGGGATCTGAACCAGTGAACCCTGGGCCACTGAGAAGTGGAACGTGTGAACTTAACTGCTGTGCCACCACGCCGGCCCCCAGAGATCTTTCTTAATGTAGGCATTTATAGCTATAAACTTCCCTCTTAGAACTGCTTTTGTTGCATCCTATAAGGTTTGGTTTGTTGTGTTTCCATTTTTGTTTGTCTCAAGATATTTTTTGGTTTCTTCTTTGATCCCTTAGTTGTTCAAGAATGTGTTAATTTCCACATATTTCTGAATTTTCCAGCTTTTCCTCCTGTTATTGATTTCTAGTTTCATATCATTGTGGTCAGAAAAGATAGTTGACATAATTTTTATCTTCTTGAATTTTTTGGGACTTGTTTTGTGGCCTAAGACATGATCTATCCTAGGAAATGTGCCATGTGCACTTGGGAAGAATGTGTGTTCTGCTGCTGTTGGATGCAATGTTCTGTATATGTTTGTTAAGTCCATTTGGTTTATAGTGTTGTTTAAATCTACTGTTTCCTTATTTATTCTCTGTCTGGATGATCTATCCATCGTTGAGAGTTAGGTATTAAAGTCCCCAACTATTACTGTGTTGCTGTTTATTTCTCATTTTAGTTTAGTTAGTATTTGCTTCTGTGTTTAGGTGGTCTGATGCTGGGTGCATAAATATTTACAATTGTTGTATCTTCTTGATGAATTGACCCCTTTATCATTATATAATGATCACCTTTGTTTCTTTTGACCATTTTTAGCTTAAAGTCTATTGTAGCTAAAGTCTATCCTTGCCTTCCTTTGGTTACCATTTGCTCAGAATATCTTTTTCCATCTCTTCACACTCAGCCTCTGTGCATCCTTAAAGCTAAAGTGAATCTCTTGTAGGCAGTCTATTGTTGGATCTAGTTTTTTAAATCCATCCATCCATTCTGTGTCTTTTGATTGGAGAATTTAATCCATTTATGTTTAAAGTAATTATTGAAAAGTAAGGATTTACTATTTGCTTTTTGTTAATTGTTTTCTGACTATTTTGTAGATCCTTTGTTCCTTGCTCCCTGTCTTGCTGTCTTCCTTTTTGATTTGATGAGTTTTTGTGGAAGTATGCTTTGACACCTTTATCATAATCTTTTGTGTATCTACTACAGGTTTTTCCTTTGTGGTTATCATGAGGCTTATGTAAAATATCATATAGTTGTATCTTCCTATTCTAAGCTGATAACAATTATTTATAGAATGTCTATTTTGTGCCTGTGTTTATATTCCTCACTGGGGAATACAAAGTTTAATAAAAGAAAGCTCCTACCCATGAAATCAGATAGCCTTCTGGGTTAGACACATGTTACCTGGGCTGGGGAGTGCAGGGTAGGAAAGTCTTCTTGAAAGATTAGTAGGAATCAGCCATGTTACAAAGAGCGGGAAGTTTGTTGGCCAGAAGGAATGCATATACAAAGGAAACAAGAAACAAACAGACAACATGTTTTGGTATTTCTGGAAGAAGGGGTTAATTTTGAAGTTGGCTGTGTTTTTAGACTGGAGAAAGGGAAAGGGACCAGGTCTGGGAGGGTTTAGTTTGTCTTACTAAGAAGCTTGGACTTTATCTTATAGCCAATAGAAAGTCATTGATAAGCGGTAGCATAAACATCAGCTTTATGTATTAATGGTGACTTCTAGCAACAACAGTATGGAATAGGGATTGCTTCCCTGGAGGTAGAGAGAAGAGTTAGAAGCTATTGCATTGTTCTAGGTGACAGATGGTAAACACTTTGAAACAGGGCAGTAGTATTAGGGATAGAGGAACATAACAAGTTCAAGAAGTATTTAGGAGGTAGAAGTGTCAGAACTTGGTGACAATAGGATGTTTCGGCTGAGGAAGAGAGAACAGTATAGAATGAATTCCCAGTGTCTGGCTTGTGTGACTGATTGAATGGTAGATTAACTGACATAGGGAATGCAGGAAGGGGAGCAAATCTGATGCCAAAAGAAGATGAATTAAGTTTCAGTCCTGTTGATCTGACACATAATTGGAGTTTGATAGGTGGGTCTAACACTTTGTCGAAGGACTGGGTGTGAGGATTTACATATGTGACGAGGATTCAATGTCATGGCTTATATGACTAGCATGGGAGATGCTGTGTAGATTTATTCATTCACTGATTCCTGTTCCAGGGTATTTCCTGCCATTAACACTATCAGGGATCTGTTGCAAGTGATAGAAATCCAGTTTGAAGAATTTTAGGCAATTGAGTATTGGTTCACAACAAGTGGGAAAGAGAGAATGCAACTTGTGGCAACCTCAGAGAGAGAGGTCAACGATATTTTGGAACCTGGAAAGTACATACACAAGAGTTAACTAACTTTGGGGCTGGCCCCGTGGCCGAGTGGTTAAGTTCGTGCGCTCCCCTTTGGCGGCCCAGGGTTCAGATCCTGGGTGCAGACATGGCACCATTCATTAGGCCATGTTGAGGTGGCATCCCACATGCCACAACTAGAAGGACCCACAACTAAAATATACAACTATGTACTGGGGGGATTTGGGGAGAAGAAAAAAAAACTTCCTGTCTTACAAAAAAAAGAGTAACTTAGCAGACCACAGAAAGCTGAATTCTGTCGACATTCACCAGTCAGAGATCACCAGGAACACAGGTGGAGTTAACCAAAGTTATGTTTATTTAGTTTCTGCAGCAAAGGAGAACGCCCAGGGGAATCTTGGAAGCATCTCACTAAGGGAGAATTGGGAAGGAATTCTTATAGGAGCTGGGATTGTGCTGCATAATTCTAGGGAGGGATTAGGGAGGTGGGGTGCCATCTCTGGATGGAATATGCTTGAGAAATGGGGCATTTTCAGCAATTGGCTATCTCAGAAATCTTTTTTCAGGAGACTAAAGAAATAAGCAGACTGAGATGTCATTGGTAACAAAGCAGCAATCACTTAGAAGAAAAGATTGTTAGTCATTTTTGCAGCTGTGGTATGGCCTTGTATAGAAATACTGTTTATGTGATCTTGTCCGTGTCCCTTGGAAACATTGTTTATGTTCTCTTAGGAATATCACAGTCTGATTACCAGCACGGCTGATTTTCATTTTCTCAAATCTAACTGCCAGCAAGAGGGTAACTCCAAGAAGCAGGCCAATTTTCACAGCAGTATCCTGGAAAGGCTCAAATTAGACGCAACGGGCATGGGTATGAGTGGAACTGAAAACCTGAGAAAGTATATGAAAATGAAAGTCTGCATAAGAAAGCAGTTAGGCCTTGTTATGGACTAAATGTTCGTGTCCTTGCAAAATTTGTATGTAGAAATCCTAGCCCCCAATGTGATGTTATTAGGAGGTGGGGCCTTTGGGAGGTGATTAGGTCGTGAGGGTGAAGCCCTCATATTTGGCATTTGTGCTCTTATAAAAGAGACACCAGAGAGCTCTTTTGTCCCTTCTACCACGTGTGAAACCAGAAAGTAGACTCTCACCAGACACCTGCATCTTTTTTTTTAATTTGATTTTTTCTTCTTTATTTTTTGAGAAAGATTAGCCCTGAGCTAATATCTGCTGCCAATCCTCCTCCTTTTGCTGAGGAAGACTGGCCCTGAGCTAACATCCGTGCCCATCTTCCTCTACTTTATATGTGGGGCACCTACCACGGCATGGCTTGACAAGCAGTGCATAGGTCTGCCCCTGGGATCGGGGCTGGCGAACCCCGGGCTGCTGAAGCAGAACGTGCGAACTTAACCGCTGCGCCACTGGGCTGGCCCCTCTGCTGGCATCTTGATCTTAGACTTCCCAGCCTCCAGAACTGTGAGAAATAAATGTTTGTTGTTGAAAGTGCTCCGTCTGTGGTATTGCTGTTAGGGTAGCCTGAACGGACTAAGACAAACCTCTAGAGCTTTCTCTCTGTTCTACATAGCCAGGCTCCAACTCACGACCCCTGCAGAAGGTTGAAAGTTTCCTCTCTAGAGAGGTTGAATCAGAGAGACTGGATCTGGGAATATGCGAAATAGCAAAGGGAAGGGAGGTCCTACTGAGAATGGGAACTGAGCGAAAGTTTGCTTAGACGCCAGCCTTCTTCTCTGACTCAGCTGTCAGAAGACTGATTTTTCAGCCTTAGAAATGGAAGGATTCTTCTTTTGGGAAACCAGTTAATCTTACGGATATTGGCAGGAGGGAAGGTGGGCCCCAAGGGAAACAGCTGGGTCCCAACCTGATCACTCTACAGTGAAGCCCATGCTTAGCTTCAAACTAGCTTTCTTGTGCCTTACTCTTTTTTTTTTTTTTTAGGAAGATTAACCCTGAGCTAACTACTGCCAATCCTCCTCTTTTTGCTGAGGAAGACTGGCCCTGAGCTAACATCCATGCCCATCTTCCTCTACTTTATACGTGGGATGCCTACCACAGTACGGTGTGCCAAGTGGTGCCATGTCCGCACCCGGGATCCAAACCGGCAAACCCCGGGCCACCAAGAAGCAGAACTTGTGCACTTAACTGCTACGCCACCAGGCTGGCCCCAACATGGCTTACTGTTAAATCTGGACAGCACTGAAGGACCATGAGATATTTGAGAAAAGCATTTAACATGTAAGGGAAATAAAACAAACATTAAAAAATTTAGAAGATAAGAGACAATCCAAGGAGCAGAAGATGATATTGAATCCAAGAAATAAGAAAAGGATGCTCCAAAAGTGAATATTCAGCAGTCAATGAATAGTTTTTGGAAATTAAAAATGCATAAGCTAAACTAAAAAATTAATAGAAGCTTTGTAAATTAAAGTTGAAGACATCTTCAAAGTAGAAAAAAAAAGAGAGAAATATAAGGAAATAGGACCATTTGAGCAGGTCCCATGTTCAAATAAAGGCGTTCTAAAAAGACAGAACATAGAAAAGAGAGGAGGAACTAATCAAGGAAAAAAGTACAAGAAAACTTCTCAGAATGGAAATGCCTGAGTCTCCAGATTGAAAGCATCCACTGAGTGTCCAGCAAAACGAATGAAAAAAAATCCCACACAAAGACAAAGCGTTGCGAGATTTTAGAATGTCAGGGTGAAAGAGAAGATTCTAAAACTCTAGGGGTAGGGAGGGGAACAGATCACATATGATGGAAAGGAAAGCTGGACCACAATAAAGCAATGGCTTCAACATTCCAAGGAAAAATGAAATCCAGTCTAGAATTCTATAGCTACTATTACTATCAATGAGACGTGAGCATAGCATAAAGGTAAGCAAGACTTCAAAATCCTTACTCCTGTGTGCTCCTTTTCAGGAAGCTCTGGAGAATGTAATCCATTAAAACAAGGAAGTGAACTGAAGAAGGAACATGGGGGCTGCGGTAAATAGGGGACACAACATAAGAGGAAGGCGTGAATTCCCAGGATGATGGGAGAGAGAATTCCCAGAACACAGTTGGGTAACAGGCCTAGAATGCAAACAGCCCAGGTTAGAGCCAGAAGGTGGAGGGCTCCAGATATGTCTACATTTAAAAGTAAGTGTGTAAGTAAGTGAACAGACTGGTAGAGTACGGGATATTTTTAAAGCATCAAGAGATTTACACTTCTGGAGTAGACCTTGAAATGAATTAGAAAATTAAGACAAATGAGGCACTTCTTAACTCCAGGGAAAATTAAAAATGCACGAGAAAGGAAATGGCTCAGGTGAGAGTAATATGTATTTACAAAGTTGTTGTCATATAAATACTAAATATTTATTTAACCAAGGAAACTAAATAGGGAGGGAGAATGAGTGTGTGTGTGTGGTGGAGGGAGGGTGTTCCCCAGAAATAGATGGAAGTACAAGAGATCTAAACACTTTTGATCAAGAGTAGGATGTCAATAGAAGATATCTGAACTTGAAAAATGAAGTTCCCTGATAATCATGCTGTTTGGAAATACAGAGGGAAGTGTTAGAGCCAAAAGGGTTGAATGTGATTGCCTTCCGGGGCCGAAACTGGCTATGGGGAGCAGTGGAGGAAAGTACTGCTGTTGTACATTAGAAGCCTAATAAAATGATTTAACTTAAAAATATGTACATATATTACTTTGATAAAAGTAAACATTATTTTAAAAATCATAATAACTGAGAAGGGAACGTGGAGGGTGGAAATAACTGGACCCATGAAACAATTTCACACTGTCTCCCTCTCACACGCGCATTCTCTCATGTCTGTCTCTGTACATCTGGTTCATTTTCCCTCGCTGTGGATCACAGTTGTTGATGCTCGCTGGGGATGGAGGGACTCAGGAGGCGTGTGGCTGCTACCAGACACATCATAGCTAGGAATGGCTTCTGGCAGTTCTGGACTCATTATTTTTATAGCTTTGCTGATTGAGAGCACAGGATTCTTCCTCCCAAATCCAGTCAGTATAAGAATGACTTACACTTTTCTCTCCATGGCTCTCTTCTATAGCTGTGAAGCCTATTTTAATGTCTTCTGGACCCTTCCTCCCAATGTAGATGGACTTGGTGATTATGGAAATATTTGTAAGTGAAGATTTTATTTGCTAGTATTTGCAAATCTATTTCATTTTTCAGAACGACTTGGAGCCTCATAATGCTTCCACTATTTACAGTTGCCACTACTATTTTGGTGAGGAGATAAAAAAGAGAACAAGTAGATTAGTGACTAGTTTTCTTATACATGTTAACAAAAGCACCTACTCATGTGGTACCACATCTTTTCAATCTTGTGGCATTCCCTTCTTGACAGGGGTTGGTCTTTGCTATTCACCTGAGATCTTGTGAGAAGTGCAGAAGCTCAGGCCCCAGAATCTGAGGATCATTGTGTCAGAGTCTGAGTTAGTCTGGAACCTGGACTTTTTTTTAAGCTTGCCAGGTGACTAGCTTGTTAACTAACAATCTGAGCACATCATAATTCTATTTCAGCTTATTTAATACTTGTGACAGTTAACAAACTGAGTCAGTATTTCTCAAAAATTTGTGTGCATACAAATCACCTGGGGGTCTTATTTTTTTAAACTTTTTATTTTGAAATAGTTATAGATTCACAGGAAGCTGCAAAGACAATACAGAGAGCTCCTGTGTACCCTTCACCCAGTTTCTCCCAATGGTTACATTTTGTGTAACCTTAGTATGGTATCAAAACCAGGAAATTGAGGAGCCACCCTGGGGGTGTAGCAGTTAAGTTTGTGCGCTCCACTTTGGTGGCCTGGATTTGGATTTTTTTTTTGCCAGTTTTGATCCTGGGCTCGGACCTATGCGCTGCTTGGCAAGCCATGCTGTGGCAGGCATCCCACATATAAAATAGAGGAAGATGGGCATGGATGTCAGCTCAGTGCCAGTCTTCCTCAGCAAAAAGAGGAGGATTGGTGATGGATGTTAGCTCAGGGCTAATCTTCCTTAAAAAAACCTCCCACAACCAGGAAATTGACATTGGCACAATGCGTTTGTATAGTCCTATGCCGTTTTATCACCTGCGGAGATTCCTGTAACCATAACTGCAATCGAAATACAGAACTATTCCATTACCACAAAGATCTCCTTTATGCCACCCCTTTGTAATTACACATACTCCGTTCCCCCACTTACCATTTAACCTCTGACAACCACTAATCTGTGTTCCAGCTCTATACTTTTGTCATTTTGAGAATGTTATATAAATGGAATCATACAGTATGTGGCCTTTTGAGATTGGCTTTTCTCACTCCACATAATGCCCTTGAGATCTAGCCAAGTGGTTGCATGGATTAGTAGTTTGTTTTTAAAAACTTTTATTTTGAAATTATTATAGATTCACAGGATATTGCAAAAACAGTACAGAGAAGCCCTGTGTACCTTTCACTCAGTTTTTCCCAATGGTACCATCTTAGATAACTGTAGTACAGTATCAAAATCAGAAAACTGACACTGGTGCAAGTCACAGACCTTATTCAGGTTTCAGCACTTTTGCGTGGACTCATTTGTGTGTGTTTGTGTCTGTGTGTAGTTCTATGCAATTTTAACACGTGTAGATTCATGTGGCCAACACCACAATGAAGATTCAGAACTATTCCATCACCACAAAGATCCCCATGTTACCCCTTTACAGTCATGTCCATTCCCCTTCCCTCTTTCCTGCCAACCATTAATTTCTTCTCTATCTCTATAATTTTGTCATTTCAAGAATGTCATATAAGTGAAATTGTGCATATGTAACCTTTTGAGATTGACTTTTTTTCGCTCAGCATAATCCCCTTCAGATCCATCCAAGTGGTTGCGTGTATCAATAGATGGTTCCTTTCTATTGCAGAGTTGTATTTCGTGGTGTGGAGGTACCATAGTTTGTTTAATCATTCATTCATTGTAGGATGTTTTGCTTGTTTCCAGTTTGGGGCTATTACAAAGAAATCTACTATGAACAATCATGTACAAAAATTGTGTAAAAAGAAAAAAAAAGCCCAGGCTCCAGACTAAGTAAATCAGGATCTCAGGAGTGAAGCCCAGACATCAACATTTTTTTTAAAGTTTCCCAAAAAATTCTCATGTGTATCAAGGATTTCTAAAACCAAAGTAGGTTTTAGAAATCTGCAAAAATCATTTATTAGTAACAGTTATACTTATTATGCACCTACAAGATGCTAGGCATTGTACTCATTTAAAGCTCTTAATAAGCCTTTGGGATATATATTACTATTCTCCCTTCTCATCTGAGAAGACCGAGGGGTGGACAAAATGAGTGAAGGTGGTAAAAAGGTATAAACTTCCTGTTATGAAATAAATAAGTCCTGGGGATGTAATGTACAGCATGGTGACTATAGTTAGTAATACTGTATTGTATATTTGAAAGTTGCTAAGAGAGTAGATCTTAAAAGTTTTCTTCATAAGAAAAAAATTTGTAACTATGTGAGGTGATGGATGTTAACTAGACTTATTGTGGTAACCATTTCACAATATATACATGTATCAAATCATTATATTGTACACCTGAAATTAATATAATGTTATATGTCGATTATGTCTAAATAAAAATAATAAAACCATCTTTTCCTTAGAGATATCTGTTAAGCATCCCATATCTTAAATTAATTGTGGTTCAAGAGAAAAAATTTTATTAGATGTTTTCTTTTCTTATTTTAAATCAACAAAGTGTTTTAGGATAATACTTCAAAGTATCTTACAGAGGAAAAAAATCCCACAACTCACGCATTATAAACAAAAAGGAGTTTTGTGTTTAAAACAATATCTTATACAATTAGGAGCCAAGTGAAGTTAATTACCATGAGAATAGTTCAGAGAGGCAAATTAACTGCAATAGGAAAAATGTTGGTCTAGTATGGTCCTCTATATCGTTGCAACTCAAGTGATATGTGGAGGGGCTGGCCCGGTGGCACAGCACTTAAGTACACGCGTTCCACTTTGGCGGCCCAGGGTTCACCGGTTCGGATCCTGGATGTGGACACAGCACCACTTGGCATGCCATGCTGTGGTAGGCATCCCACATATAAAGTAGAGGAAGATGGGCATGGATATTAGCTCAGGGCCAGTCTTCCTTAGCAAAGAGGAGGATTAGCAGCAGTTAGCTCAGGGCTAATGTGCCTAAGAAAAAAAAGAAAAACGATATGTGGGAAAAAATGATCTCTGTCTAGGGACAGCCACATTCATTGACCAAGCTACCTTACTCAAGGGTGTAGACCAGAAGGAAGTGAGGGAGATAGATCAGAAATCTCTTTGAGTAGAGTTTTTGAGGAGGCTATTCCAGTGCTTGACAATACAAATGCCAGGGATGGTAGGGAGCATGGAATATCCATTGAATAGCTTGATTGTTGGCCCATTGTCAGATGGCCTTTGACAGGCACAGAGAGAGAGAGAGCGAGAATTGAGAATAACGGCTTCAGCCTGTAACTGTGACGTTTGAAGTTTGAGTCTGCCTGATCTTCCCTTCCTGACTGCCTGTCCTATGGATTTTGGACTTGCTTAGACAGCCCTCATAACCGAATAAGCTAATTCACATACACACACACACACACATGCACACAAGCACATACACCGAAATGGAAAGGATTAGTGGGAGGAACATGTTTGGGAGTGAGAATCAAGAATTCTCTTTTGACATGTTCCATTTGTGATGATTTAGACCTCCAAATGGAGAGGTCAGGTAGGCACTTAGATGGCTAATAAACATGAGGGCTAGAGACATAAATTTGGGAGTCATGACTACAGAGATGCTTATTTTAAACCATAGATCTCATGAAATTGGATGGGATCACCAAAGGAGAGAATATATAGAGAAAATGAAGGGAACCAAGACTGAGCCCTGGATGACCCAACATTTAGAACTGCAACAGAGCAGGGGAAACCGGAAAAGAAGATGGGAGAGGAGGCAGGAGAGAACCAGAGGAGTGTCCATCATAGAAGGTACGAGAAGACTATTTCAAGAAGGGAGAGGCCAAGTGAGTCTACTGCTGGTAAGCTGTTGAGTAAAATCAGGTGGTCAATGGATTTGATAACAATAACTCAGTGTTTATATGATACATGTTGGGGCACTTTTATAGAATCTAAAATGTCAGTTTTTTCTCTCACATGGAATAGGAGGAGGTAGTTATGGTCATTATTGTCCCTCTTTTCTTAATGAGGAACCTCAATGAGGCTCAGATAGATTTCAGAGAATTGCTCAAGATTAAAGTAGCTTGTTATAGAAGACTTAGGTTAGAACCAGATTTCTTCATTCCAGTTCAGTTCTCTGATTCTAAATCCTGATTAGCATAGGAATCACCTGTGGAACTTTCTAAAAATACAGACACCTGGGAACCACCCCCGATATGTCTCATCAAGGAACTCTGGGATAAGGGCCAGGGCATGAGCATTAAAAAGAAAATAAATTCAACTCAACAAGTATTCTAATGAGAGGCTAGGGTTGAGGATCACTCAGTCTACAGTGTGTTCTGAGCAACCTTTAAATTGGACTTCCTAGGATTAAAGTCTATGCTTGGTTAACCTAGTTCAGAAAGGTCAGCTGGAATTTCTTTGAGCTTCCTCAGGCTGTAAATGCTAATTAACCCAATATGTTAATGCCTCAGTTCAATCTGCTAAGGTGTTTTCTTATAATTAGTCTCCTGCTTTTGAATGGAGAAAGCATTTCCCAAAAGACAGTTCTTTCCTTTGCGATTGAACTTCCGAATTAAACGTCTTGTCTCGTTAGGCGAATTTCCGTGACCAGGTCCCCCAAGATGAGAATCACTTAGAGTGGTGAGAGAATGGGAACATGTGGAGATGGTCACCTGTAAGTTTATGAAACAAAAAGAGTGTCCAAAACATGAGCACTTTTACTTATTACTAAAGAGAAAATTACCTGCTTTGTAGGGAATTTAAAATAGGGACTCAAACTTATTAAATTCTGAGGTACTTTTTCTAAAATTTTAGCAGCCTGTGCTTACTCACCAATGGGCATTTCCAGCCCTCCTCTAAGAGGTCCTGCCGCACCTCTTCTTTTTCCTGTGTTTATAGTCTGTCTAGACCAGAACAACCCCAGAACTAACCATGCTTAGACACAGCCTCATAGAAGGAACCTCTTTCATTTGCTTGTCATTCATTATTCTGCAATGTCTTCTCCCACCTCTTCCTCTAAAAGCTGACTGCACATGAGAATCACCTGTGAGTTGGGCTGGCCCTGCAGCCTAGTAGTTAAGTTGAGCACACTCTGCTTCAGTGGCCCAGGTTCAGTTCCTGGGCGTGGACCTACATCATTCGTCTGAGGCCATGCTGTGGTGGTGACCCACATGCAAAATAGAGGAAGATTGGTGCAAATGTTAGCTCAGGGCAGGTCTTCCTCAGGAAAAAAAGAAAATCATCTGTGAGCTTTAAAAAAATATATATTGATGCCTTAGGCCCCTTGCCTCCAGGAGTTTAATTTCCTTACCACATATTTGGACTTCTACAGTAGCTTCTGCACCTAATCCATCCTTCATATTTCTGAAAGGTTAATCTTTCTAAAACCCATCTTGATAAGTTTAAAACATTAAAGGTTAAAAATGAACTTCTTCCTCTTCACACTGTGTACAAAAATTTACTCAAAATGGATCAAAGACTTAAAAGTAAGATCTAAAATTACTAAATTCTTAGGAGAAAACATAAGTGTGAACTTTGTCACCTTGGATTAGATAATGGTTTCTTAGATATAACACCAACAGCACAAGGAATAAAATAAAGAATAGATAAATTGAGCATTATTAAAATTAAAAATGTTTGTGCCTCAAAGGACACTCCATTTCTGACAGATTGGAAGAAAATTTTTGCAAATTCACCTCTGATAAGAGACTTGTATCTAGACTGTATAAGGAACCATTACAATTTAATAATAAAAAGAACCCAATTTATTTCTTTTTCTTTTTTTTCCCCTTTTTCTCCCAAAGCCCCCTGGTACATAGTCCTGTATTTTTAGTTGTGGGTCCCTCCAGCTGCGGCATGCAGGATGCTGCCTCAGCATGGCCCGACAAGCAGTGCCATGTCCAGGCCCAGGATTTGAACCGGTGAAACCCCTGGCCACCGAAGCGGAGTGCGCAAACCCAACCCAACCACTCGGCAACACGGCCAGCCCCCAATTTAAAATGGGCAAAGGACGAGGCATTTCTCCAAAGAAGACAGACCACGGCCAATAAGCACATGATAAGATGCTCGACATCATTAGTCATCAGGGAAATGCAAATCAAAACCACAATGAGATACCACATCACACCCACCAGAACGGCTGTGATCAAAAAGACAGATAATGCCAAGTGTTGGTAAGGATATGGAGAAATTCGAACACTTACACATTGCTGCCAGGAATGTAAAACAGTGCAATAGCTTTAGAAAATGGTCTGGCAGTTCCTCAAAAAGTTAAACATGGAGCCATATGACCCAGCAATTCTACTCCTGGGTGTATAGACCCAAGAGACTTGAAGACCTGCATCTGCACAAAAAGTTGTACGCAAGTGTTCAGAGCAGCATTATTAGTAATAGTCAAAATGTGGAAACAATCCAAATGTCCATCAGCTGATGAGTAAATAGAATGTGGCACAACCACACAATGGAATGTGATTCATCAGTAAAAAGAAATGACGTGCCTATACATGCTACTACATGGATGAACTTTGAAAACACTAGGCTAAGTGAAAGACCCCAGTTCCAAATGACCATATATTGTATCATTTCATTCATATGAAATGTCCAAAATAGGCAAAGCTATAGAAACAGAAAGTATATTAGTGGTTGTCTAGGGCTGGAGGGGGAAGGATATTGAGGGGGTGATGGTTAGAAGTGTGGGGTTTCTTTTAAGGGTAATGAAAATGTTCTGAAATTGAATATAGTGATAGATACCCAACTCTAAATATACTAAAAGCCTTTGGATTTACACTTAAAAAAATGACCTTGTGAGTTTTTTGAGGGCCTTACCTGGTTTTCACAACTGCCTACCATTAGGGCTTCTCCTTTGTTCAAACTTTTGTCATATCTCCTTTTATTCTCCTCCCTGTACATAGTGACAGCCAAGCTGGACTTCTCAAGGTTTCTCCAACGGGCCTTGCCCTCTTCTTTCTTATTGTAATGCCCCACCTGCCCCCTTCTACTTGCCATACCTAATCTTCAAAAGCCCAGCTCTGCCCTCTCAATTCCCTCATATTTTTCCTCAGTCTTCTCAATGCTCAGCTCTGATAGAATTTGGGGGAAACCCTGACTCTGCCCAACCTTCTTATTCCCCAGGTGCCTCCATTTAATTGCTTTCAGTCTCTCTTCTTTTTTTTTTCTTTTTGAGGAAGATTAGCCCTGAGCTAACGTCTGCTGCCAATCCTCCTCTTTTTGCTGAGGAAGACTGGCCCTGAGCTAACATCTGTGCCCATCTTCCTCTACTTTATATGTGGGACGCCTACCACAGCATGGCTTGCCAAGCAGTGCCATGTCCACACCCAGGATCCAAACCAGTGAACCCCTGGCCGCCAAAGTGGAATGTGCGCACTTAACCGCTGCGCCAGCGGGCCGGCCCCTCATCCTCTCTTCTTAATTCTTGCAAACTATGTGAGAAAAATGGTCAAAATGACCTTTTTGGGAGGAGGGGAAGAGTTGGAAGTACATTGTATTTTTCATTTTGCTTGTGCTGTTTGTGAGAATATTCAGCTGTTGTTGGATAGCGTGTATCTAGCATCTGACCAGCAAGGTCAGGTTGCCCCAACCAGAACACATCTGGGGTGAGAGAAAGCTGGGGGTGAGTGAGACAAGATTCCAGATGTCAGCTAGTAAAAGCTCCCCCTTTTTCGAGTGAGTGGGACGGCAGGCACACAGAGACCACTCGTGAGCTGGGAGTTCTCCCACAACATCTGCTGCAGGGCTCAGGCCGTGGCCCCGTGCGCCTGGTCAGAGGAGGCTGTGGGCAGCTCCCAGGCATGAGAAAGGAACAGGCGGACGGCCCCTTGGTGTGTCTCCTGGAGTGACCTCCTCTTCCTTCGCTCAGGGCTTGAAGGGTGCTATCCAGGTGGTGTTCTTAAAGTACAAGAGGCACCTAATTGTTTGTCCTAATGACACGGGTTAGTTTCGAAATTAGAAATATAAGAGGGGAAGCAGGAATACAAAACCCTAGTCAGGAATCAGACAGAAAACTTGAAGTATGTCAAGTCTGCAATTTTTTTAATTAATTCTTTTTTTTAAATTCTTTTTATTTTATTTTATTTTATTTTTTGAGGAAGATTAGCCCTGAGCTAACTACTGCCAGTCCTTCTCTTTTTGCTGAGGAATCCTGGCCCTGAGCTAACATCGGTGCCCATCTTCCTCTACTTTTTTTTATGTGGGACGCCTACCACAGCATGGCATGCTAAGTGGTGCCATGTCTGCACCCGGGATCCGAACCAGTGAACCCTGGGCCCCCGAGAAGCAGAATGTGCAAACTTAACCGCTACGCCACCAGGCTGGCCCCTCAAGTCTGCAATTTTAAGGTCCCAAATTTTATCTTTTATGAAAACTTGAGAATTCAAGAATGGTTTTGGTTGAATTTATCTCCCCACTCTAAATATTCCTAAATTAAGATTGTGGAAACTTATGTCGCAGGTTAAGGAAATATAAACTGACGTTTGCCCAACATCCCCAAGCATTACAGTTTTTTTCCCATTAAAAATTACTTAAGTAATACTTGCTGTAGTAACAAATTGTAGCATTAAGGAAGCAAACAACCTTCAATATCTGGTTTGTATGTTATGCATTTAGCTTATCCTCTCTTGTGTTCTGGAAACGGAGAAGCACTGTACCATGTGTAAAGAGCGTGGTCTTTGGGGTCAGATAGACAAGTCCAGACTCTAGATTACAGGATGTTTTCCCTTGGGTAAATGACTTAATCTTTCTGAGTCTATTTCCACATCTGCAATTCTCCTGAAAGGACTGTTTATGAGGATTAAATGAGATACTAATGATTCATGATTTAGCATGTAGTGTTTGGCACTTGATT